GACCATGAAGCAATTTATGCATAACATAATACTAGAATAGTTATAATGATTATGTAATAATCCTATTTATAAAAATATATAAATGTAACTTTCTTCAATGACTTAATAAAATGACAAATCTTAAGACGAATCTTTTGAATAGATTGTTATAACAGTAAAGTTATAAGTAGTTTTAGGAAAAACTACCTTGAGACTCACCCAAATCTTTTTATGTCTCTGCCTTGATTTTTGTATTTTTTTTGTGTGTGTAATAGAAGGACAGACTCTTTTATCTGCAGGTTATGTAACCTTTTGGTCATTAGCAACAGACTCACTGATCAGCCTACTACAATATACAAGAAAAAGAAAGTAATAAACTCAAACAGAATCATAGTTAATCACATAACATGAGATCCAACAACATTCTCTCTCTACAAATGTAAAGGATGCCAGAAAAATAATCAAAGTTAAGGAATCAATACAAGGAACAAGTACAATGTATTACTGAGTTAATAATGGCAAGAACTATTAATGTAGTGATAGACAAAAGCTCAAAATCAATAGTTTCAGGTGAAAAACATCCAGCTGCAGACAACCATAGTAAAAAGGTTGCATTCAATTTGAAAGAAATAAGGAAAGCACTATGCAAAAGAAAAACAATGCCAAAATCTCTTAAGACAATGCCACAGTTTCATCTAGATTTCTTTTTAGAAACAATCCACTTAATAAACAGTAGACTAAATAGAAACAAAAAAATCATAGACCAGTTAATACACATACTAAAAGAAATAAGAGAACTCAATAACCTAGAGATTTACAGAGATAGTTCATTTACTAGACACTCAGAGAAAGTAGAATTGATCTGGGATGGATTATAACAACTCTATCAGAAAAACAAATAGCAGAATTCCAAGCAGAAACATGTAACATTCCTTATTTACAAGAACAGAACTAATAGCCATTCTAATAGCAGTAAGTACAATTAGTATAAACAAAACTATTATTATCTTCACAGACAGCCAGTCAGCAATAAATATCCTTAAAGATTCTGCAACTCAAAAATGATGTCAAGGAAAAACAAACTATTTAAACCAAATTCTAAGCAATACTATCAAGAAGATATTAAAGACAAAAAGATTAACAGTAAACTGGAAAAAAGTCAAGAGTTATGTAGGCATCCCAAGTAATGAAAAAGTAGACAAGCTGGCTATTATAAGATTAACAGATAAGCCAAAACATATAATAACAATAAATATACAAAAAGATATAATAACCAAAGTGCTTATAAGATAGAACCAATAATAATTTGATATAACAGTAAAGCCCTTATCAAAACAGATCCTTAAGAACAAATGGGCAAGCAAATGGTGAACATTACAAAGGAATCAGGACTGGTTGAATCAAAAGAAAACTAAAGAAATTCACTGGTCACTAGCTCTAGAACTTTGAATACCAACAGGTATTATATCAACCCTAACAAATATAGAAGACCATATAGATCATTTATTTAGAATCAAGACATGGATGGGGGAATTGCCAACCATGGACAAGTTAAACATGAGATGTCTAGACATCTATACTGATACCAAGTACAAAGTATGCAAACAAAATAAAGAAAACAATTAACATATCTTTAAATGTGGTACAATACAAACAAGACTTCAGAAAGAATACATCCAGGTTCTAACAAAGGAAAGTGCAGTGATAGTGGATGGAAAACAAAAAAAACTAATTCAAAATAAATGGAAATAAACACAAATATTACATAAATACAAAAAATCTATAAAAACATGGCACAAGATCAAATGGAAGGACTTAGTCAAAGGAGTCATAACACACAACATGGCTCAAGTGGAGAAACCATGACTAAAGATAGAACAAAAGCCCTGGAAGCAATAAAAATAGCAACTCACACATTTTGGTAAAGGAAGTGAGAAATATGGAAACTCAGATGTGACATCACAATTAAATGAGAAAAGAGCTGAAATATAAACAAAAAGCTCAAGTGACAGAGAAAGCATGCTAAAGGTAAAAAGCATAACCAAGGTTTAATATCACAAAATCCAGACTTGCCAATTACCCAAGTCATAAAGAGCTTCAAGTTAGATTCCACACCAGAGCAAACCCAAATAAATCTTGAAAAATTCTTAAAGAACAAGTTTAAAGAGCTATATATAGAACTAACAAACATTACCACTGAATATACACTCAAAAATAGTTACTTTCCATATTTTTTCTTCTTTGTAAATATTAGTACTAGTGGAGTCTTGATATGCTAGCATCCACCAAGGTGGACTGCAGCAAGTCACAGGGTTTCTACTTTAGAATACTGAGTCATAGTATTTTTTTATTTCATAAATGTATAGACTCACAATTAAATTTGTATATATAAGCCTGTATTAATGAATAAATAAAAACTCAATGACAGGACTTTGCGTGTAAAAAAAAAAAAAAATGTACTAATCTTTAAAAATTAAAAATTTAATTATGTATTTATTTTTATTTTTTTTTACTACAAATAATAATAAAGCTAATTAAAAAATTAGAACCTTTAATAAAATATACTATTTTTTTATTAATGTTTTTAAAATATTTCTTGTTTGAATAACAATTTTAATTAGTTTTCTATTTAACTTTTTATAAAAAAAAAAGATGTCATTTTTTAATTAATTGAATTTGCGATTCTTTCTTTGGTTATTTATTGTTATTTTTTTGACTGGAAAAATCTTATATATATTATTCTGAGTTCTCTTTTATATTGATAACCAAGTAATTGCTATATATTTTAGTTTGTTACGAATAATAATTTTATTGTATTTAGTGTTATAAAATAAAGATAAAATTTTTAAAAATCTTTTTGAATTTCATTTTTAACTTGTTCAGTTATTGTAAAATTAGCTGGTAATGTAATTATACACTTTTCATATACATATATTTGTTAAAGCTAAATATACTATCTTACAAGTAAGGCGAGACCCCTAAAGTATTTAATATATAAAATTTTACAAAATACTTATGTTCCTTTTTGAGGAATAAAATTTATAGCTCTTCATTTTAATAGGAACAAAATTTAGAAAATATCATAAATCACTGATTTAAATAAAGAAGAACTATTGTAGGAGTTTTTAATAATTATTAATTTAAAAAATTTTAATTTTTTCTAGTGTGAGACATTTGACTTTTGTCCTTGCCTCCCCCCTTAGGGACTCATCATTACTGACAAGTTCGTTTTAGTCTAACTCGTATTGTTGGTCAGTTTTTTGTTTTTGGAATACTTTGGGTTGTATTAAAATGTACAAATAGTTTGGACGTGGACTTGAATTTGAGCCTTCTCCTATGCCTCTGCTTGACTATTTTTTATATTTGATATGAAAAAATGAAACCTTTTCGTTCATTCTAATAATTACAAATTGTCAAATGTAACATGTTCGAGACAGGTTAAAGGAATAATTCTTCTTGATGTCAAATGATTTATCAGTACGTATCGACGATAAATGATTTATTGTCGCGCCTCAGATTATTTTTATTCGGTGATTATGTTGATTTAGTCACGACAATTACCAATATTACTTTTAAGCTGTTTATCATTTTTCATGTTTTTCTCCGCAGTTTCAAGCATAACATCAGAAGATTCTATCGATAAGTTCATTTCGGCGATACCAACGCTAACTGTAATATTTATATTTTTTATCTTATAAATAAATTGATGTTTCTCCACGAAATATTTGACCTTTTTCGAAACTTCAACAGCAGATTCAGCTCTGGAATTTTTAAGAATAATCGCAAATTCATCTCCCCCAAATCGTGCAAAGATATCCTCCAAACCGATATGCGTTTTAATCAAAGTAGCTAACTCCTTCAAAACATAATCTCCTGCTTCATAGCTTATTCTGTCATTTATACATTTAAAGTCGTCAACATCAAGAATCAACAAGCTTAAGCCTGAATTCCTTTCTTTAGCGCGTTCGAATTCGTATTTCAAGGATTCTCTCAGATAAGGCTTGTTGTAAATTTGTGTGAGGTCGTCTATGAAAGTTTTATACTCCCCGGCAGGAAAATATTCAAAAGTACTATTTCCTATTTTAATAATGTTATTACGTCTTAAAGTATGATCGTGATAGGGGCGGAGCTTTATATTATCAACATAAGTTTTATAAGTTCCAAACGTAGAGTCTAAATCAGTAATCTGAACCCTCCCCTGATTCTCTGTTATCTTTACATGACTTCTAGAAACATATTGGCATTTAATAATAATGTTATTTGTTGATGCTCTTCCTATTAATGTTTCGTTTTGAATAAAAAGGTAACGTCGATTCTGTGGCGAACCTTTAATAACCATCAAAAATGCCTTTTGGATATCTTTTTTAAGATTCGTTTCAATTTCTGGTTCATAATTTCTATCTCTCTTTTGGTATGTGATTTCATAATCAAAAACAAGAAGTCGATGACAAATATCTTCTATTGATATTGTTCGAGCTCGTGTGTCTCGTAATAGGTCAATATAATCTACCGGGGTTCCAAAATTGTATGAGCGCATCTCATTGTCGACATCCCCCATTGATTTTCCGCTTGATATTTCCACAAACATTTCTCCCAAATCGTAAATATCCTTATTTCTGGTATTGGAATCCAATAATCTAGAAGATTCGAAATTTGTTATCAGCCACCCGCCATCGTGATTGGAAATATTTTTTGAGCACTTGAAATTATAAAGAAAAAATTGTACATCAACATTTGATGCTATAATCTTGTATTAAAATGTATCCAATGTAAACTTACCAAATTATAGTGTGCGATATTAGCGCTATGAATATAATTTAGGCCAGACGAAATGTCTTTTGATATTTTTATTTTGTCAGGCCAGCTTAATTCGGAAAATTTGCGCCTCAGGTGTGATTTTAGAGTTTCACCGTTAATATATTGCAATACCATAAAAAAGCATTTCTTGTTCGGATCTAATAAAAATAATGGAATACATTTATAATATAAATGTGAGGGATTCGACAGTAAGAACAAAATTTTCAGAGTTCCAACGGGTGATAAATAAAGTTACCTTTGCAAATGCCCATGAATTGAATTACATATTCATTAGGGACAACTGATATCATGTTCTGTACCTGTAATTTTTAAAGGCAATTGTTGGATCAAGCTTTCGTGTATGTAAATCGTACACGAATATACATACCACCCTTATGAACTTCTCTGAATATTCACCGTCGTTATTTTCATCATCAGAATTGGTATAAATAGTTTTGCAGCTGTTCCCATCGTTTTCATTGTCATCTTCACCCTCCATTTCATCGACATTTTTTCGACAATATTTAAGTACAATATTTTTGTTAATTCCTTTTATAACTCCAGAAGATTTTGTTCTCGAGATAGGTTTTATATGCTCAAATGAGTTATAATCAAACACTTTTATAAAACGACCCCTTATGGCAGCTTGAAAGCAATCTTTATTTTCAAAAGATGTCATTTCTTTAGCAATTCTTTGGAATAGCCGATAAGAAATTACGAGTCAACATATTTAAACCGAATACTTATGCTGCTTTCTTGATGCCTGTTGTAACACAGCATATACGGTCAAATCTATAAAAGAAATTGCGTGCAAATAGTCTATTTTTAGTTGACG